GGATATCCCACAGTGCTCAAATATCTATGTTTGTAATCGTTGTAATTTTTTTAAGTTATCTTTAAATTGTTTTCACTAAATTCAATTATTGTTTGCGTTGATTTATCGAAAGTCTATAATGGCCGTGTTTCTTAAAATTATATACTTTTAATTACTATTAATTATATGTTAGATTATATTATTTAAAATAATGAGTACATTATGTTTCAGTATATTTGCTGTATTAATGAAAGATTATTGACTAAGTTTTTATTTCAGAAATCTCGATGTTAACGGTACTGTCCGGTATTAGGGGTTTGAATTAATACTTGTCCGGTACTAGGTGCCAGTTTTCAGTGATACCAAAAACAAGACCAATGATTGGTTTCTTTTTCTAGTTGTTAAAATTGTTCGATAGTTATTTATATTGATTTATTTGAATGTCTAATATGATTGTGTATCTCAAAATGTTAGGTATCGTAATAAAACATGATCTGAATTTGTTTAATTTCTGCAAAACCTTAAGTGTACGGTACTCGAGGGACTCCCCCTATAATTTATTATTGCGTATCACTGCGTAAGACCTAATAACTTTTCGCGTAGGGTTTTACGCGTATGAAGCTCTGAACTATCTAAAAATTTAGTTACGGCTAAATTGGTATTTTTGAAACAACGAGATTCTGGATAATGTATTTTGTCATTCTCTTACTATGTATACGGGCCGCTTCTTTCGCAATCGACCAGATTCCCTAACTCTCCCTATTCCTTCGATATATTCAAGGTCTACATTTAATAAATTACGAAACATATCGATGAACCAGTTGTGAAGTTCATATTCGTTTTCTGGTAGACCATGTAGTATAATTTTTTTGTCGTTCGCGTCTAGCTGTTGCACTGTTTCTGGGTGTCTTTTGTTTTGTATTATGTTTTGTTGTTGATTCATCAAAGTTTTGTAAGTAATTGATTTTCTGATGTAGTTTTTCATTTTCTAATTCTTTGTTTTTTATTCTTTTCTTCCATTTCTTGTATTGTGTTAATTATTTCACGGTAGTTAGGTGTTAAAATTGTGGTTTTCTTGGTAAATTTTTCTTCAAATTTTTTTATTCTTTCGCTTATTTCTTTCTGGATTATGTTTTGTATGGCGGCAAAGAAATTAGAATTATTTTTCGATAATTTGCAGTCTAATAATTGACTAATACTTTCAAGCTTGATGGTGGTGGACGTGTGTGATGTCGATAATTGACAAATCTCTTCGCTGTCGGAAAAAATCTATGTTAGTACTCTCTTGTAAACAGAGCGATATTTCGTTGCTACAAGTTGCTTCCGCGGGTCAAATTTATATTTACGTTTTCGTCGTCAGAAGCACGTACCGGAGTATTGGTATTATCCCGTTTAGGTTGGGCACTCTTTTCAACACGTAACCACGATAGTTTGTGTTCCCTCGTCATTGTGTTGAAGAAACGCTTTTCCGGTACGTTTGCACACAGGTCATACACATTTTTACAGACACTACAAGTTAAATAGCGTCGGTTAACGATTAGCGTAGAGCATCCAGCAATATCATTTTACTCGAAGACATTTTGATGAGGTATTTATTGTATAAAAATTAATACTCATGGAATAGAATCCGATTTGACGGTACGTAGCAATTCCCTCACATGGCCGCGGCGGCGGCGGCGGCGCATGCATGTGTGTGTGTGTGAGCAGCAGTAAATTAATTTGCTCTTGGATTAAATATTTCTGTTTTATAACTAAGATACACTTCTGAGACGTTTTTTTACTATTATCAAGTAATTATTCTCTAGCGTCTATAGGGAGAGGATCGTTTTGTTGGATTTAATAAATTTGTCTCCATAAAAATAATTTTGTGTTTTTCTAAGTAGTCTGTTTTTACCGTGTAGAGGATGACCTAGACATCTTCCGGTCCCTCCGGTCGCGTAGGAATTAACTGGAGAGACGATGCTCATTCGGCGTCGGGAAGTGTGCGTGCCTAACAGCTCCGCCACCAATGAGGAGATTTGGTAGTCGACTTAAGAGTTGGCTGCTCAGGTGGCAACCGTTAGAAGTGCGGAGCGCGACGGGAAGTGAACGTGCCTACAATTCCGGTACCTATCTGGAAAATAGGGAGGGTGTTGCATGTGCACCCGGGGCGGCTCACCTAAGCCTTACAGAGAACCGGATCAATGTGGAGTTAGGACCTTAGATGGTCCCTGTGCGGGTTCGCTCACACAGGTCATAGGGCCCTTTCCGCCTAACGAAGAGGTTGAAAGGGAAGGGCACTATAAACAAAACTTATGTAGAAAATTATGGTACTGTTCACAGATCATAACGAACAATCGACGTTTTGGGACAACTATTTTTTTAAATTATGGGCACTTGTAATTTTTTAAAACGAATTATACCAATCGAAGCACAATGGTGTAAGCGTTATTTCGATATAAATTCGAGACACGAAAATTCATTTTCATTCGGTTACGGATTTTAATCAACGGAGAAACATATAAACGATGTTCGCTCTTCGGCTCTTAAGGAAAAGAACGGTATCAAGCAACATTAGTAACAAAAGCGGTGTCGCCACACGCACAGATTTGAAAACGTAATCTTACATTAGTAACTAAGATAACATAATTTTGATTGGTTATAAATTATCAAACGAAAATAGACAATAATCAAAAGCTTTTGAAAAAAACATTTAAACTTATTTGAATCTAATAAGTTTTTATTATTACTAGTCACATATAGCTAAGAATCCCATGAATATCAACTTAATGGAACAAAAGCAAAAAGTTGACAATCTACAGATAGGGATGTGATATTTAATTGATATAGACATTATGCGTCATAACTCATAACCAGCGGAATATTGAACTAGGTATTGCTTTATACTTGCTGTAATTAGGGTTAACCACGGAGTATATTGAAACGGCATTTAAAGCAATTCCTTCGAGTACTAGCGTAGCTGACTTTTACACGCACACATTTGTTACCAAATACGCATAAGGTTTTACTACACGCAAATATTAATTGATATTAGCTACGCAAGCGTATGCGTATACGCTACAAGCTACAATCACAGTACTAATGATTTATTATACTGTCTTCGTACTTTCATTAACCTACTAGATTTCAAGTCAATCCTGGAAGGGCTGAATATTAAAACACAGTCATCATAAAAATCTTTATTCTCCCTGAAATATGATATATTTGTTCAACAATTACCTCTTTCTGAACTGACTGAACATGACAACACCTATAGCGTCGACAAGCTTGGCAAGAAAATGAAGATACTTATTTCCGAAGGCGAAGAAGCGAATCATTTGTTTCATGAAAACTTGACAAAAAGTAAGTGACAATGCTTCAGAAATGTTTTCACATTTAGATGTGGTATATAAATTGTGAAGGCGACTCGTGAGTTTCATGTCAATATATTACCTGATTAACCAAATGATTTATTTCTTAATGAATTTCTCTTTTGTTGTTCATATGGTACATAACGTGATGTCATAAAATGCCTATAGCAAATGGTGCTACATTTAGTAGGTATCCCGCTTTTACTGCTTGTTTAGATCGGCCCATTTCTTCTTTAAAAAGGATCCGGCGGGAAACTAAAATAATCAATACCAAAACTGCAAATGTAAATCACGCCTATGATAAAACTAAGAACTCAAGCGGATGAAGATGACGTACGGTATAATAAGCAAGTAGGAATCATGTAGACAAGGGAAAGAAAATCTTCAATCTCATGAAGTCTTCATTTGTTACTCCACGAGCTAAAGTGCATGGTAAAATTATCGATACTGTAACTCTTCTATCTAGGTATATTTCCTTTTTCTCCATTAATTTCGTAATCGTTTTTCCAGAAATTGAAAATTAAAAAGAAAAACTATTGCTAGTTTTGGGACCAAAACATTTAAGTAATCACAATTGTTGTTAGCTTTTAAATCCCTGTAAACAATTTATGTTTACATATTGGTACCGCTACAATAAAAAAAAATGTTGAACTAAACCAAAACCGGGTTTTTAAATACAGAATTTCTACATATCGATAATTTGATTCAACACGCAGACCCAGTACCAAGTGTAGTACGTCGCTAGGGCAAGCAATTCATTGAGCGTCATTCGAACTGTTCTTTTGACGGCGGCGATGGTTAGCAACCAATGTATATTGTTATTAATTGGCTGCAAGAAAATATTTTTGTTTCGAAATATTAGTATTGTGTTGTTCAAAATATTAGGTAATACTGAGTTTTAGTACTTACCGATGAAATGAAATGACTCCCGGAGTATTTTTTAAACCTTGGCATCTTATGCGACATGATATAATGGCAAAACACGGCGTATTACTATTTTTTCCACAAAATAATCTTGTATCACATTTGAACGACAACTGGCGCGCTGTTGACACTTATATGAACGTCTGTTCATAAGCTAGGAAACGCGGGCCCCGCCCACTAACCAGTCTATTACTAGTATTTATGGTCTGCGGGCAATTGGTATTACTTATTATTGTACATTATCAAATGATAATTTTTATTTTCATAATAACAAGAAGATTTTTAAATATTGACTATTTTTTAAACCTATGTATTAAATATTCGTTTTATCCGTTTTATTCGAATAAAAGATTTCATATTATTCGAATTAGTCGAATACCAAAAATGGGCGAATATTGCAAGCCCTAGGTGGGCGAATATTGCAAGCCCTAGGTGGGCGTTTTTTTTCGTATTTTAACATATTAAAAACAGGTGTCACTCTCTCTCGTGCTCTTGTTCACTGAACAATGTATGTTTTGGGCAAAAAACATCATTTTACAATATTATTATTTGGTGCGTTTTCAAACTTTTTAATCAAGATTTTGACGGAAACTATTTCAAATTTAAATACATCAAATAATAAGTTACTTTTGCTCTGTTAAGTAAATGATTTAGTCTGGTGAAAACATAAAAATCATTACTAATACTATAGCACTAGCAATACGGAGTTCATCAGTAACTTGACAACTTTTATAAAATAACACTTACTTGAAATCCAAGGCAACGTCCATAGAAACAATACTGATTAATGGTATCAGCTTGGGCGAATAGTTCTTCTGGGGAATGAGGTTCGGTAGGAAAGAGGTCTCCCGGTTGGGCCCAAGATAATAATGTGTGGAGATGATGTAGACATGTACCCAGGGATGCTAGTAGTTGACCGCAGGATTCCACCTCTCTGGAAAGGCGTATCTAATTTTAAGGTGTATTTCCAGCACGAGTCAGAACAATCACAGTAATAAGTCTATTTTATACTTAGGTTTTTATGATTACAAGAGACTGGATGTGAGTGGAACGAAAGTGGTGGTGTCAGAAGCGTAATGAGTGGAGGTTCGTGGTCTTTGCTTACCCCAATGGAAGACAGGGGTGATGGTAAGATCATGTATACACTTTTGATGACACCTTGATGTTCTGCCATCTGTACTTACATTTTGTGACAATTTAGTTTTAACATTTATTGATTGCAATTTTAAATGTTAACGTACATAACGCAAACACTCAACGTAGCCCCTCACTAGGGAAACCCTGTGTCGCGGGTGCCATGAACATACACATAGACAACCACAAATTACACTCAAACTCACGAGAGTAATAAATGTAGGTCATACAAATATTTTTCCCGGCCCGGGAATCGAACCTGGGACCTCTGAGTGGCAGTCCGCCATGGTAGCCACGGAGGCAGTTTAATGAATTAATTCCATTACATCATTAAACCTGGTATTTCCTGTTCTATAGATAACTAAATTAAGTCCAAAGTCACTCATAAATAGACCAGACACAATTTGAAAATCGTTTTCTAATTAGTGGAATCAGGATTAAATCGAGACCTCCAAGCAGTACTCACTCAAGTCCTGAGCTACAGAGATTTATCTATGCAACCAAAGGTTATCTGCACAGCCCAGCTGTTTTTTCGTAGAAGGTAATGACGTTACATTAACGGCATTGTTTTTATTATATCATTATAATTAGTCAACATTACTGACAAGACAGTTTCTTTGTCTTTTTGTTACTAAGTTAGTTAAAACCGGTTTAAATATTTTTTTGCAGAAATCAACGTCGCGGTATACCACAAAAAGGATAGCGTGATGATTGGATAGCCTTTCTTGAAGCCGACAGTTTGGAGAATGCTTTTGCTCTGTAGTGAGTTTTTAAGGATATCAAATAGTCCCCGTTGCAATATAGAGTATTATTAAGAAGACTTTAAAAAGCTTTCCCAAAAAATACTCGGCCTAAAGGAAATCGCAGGCGTTAATTATAACTTACTTAACAAAGTATCCTTTGCGGAACAGCAATGCATCTCTACTGGTGACAACTTGTCTACTGATCTTGAGGCCGTGGAGTACACACGAGTCTACTACAGAAACGAAACTTCGGTATCCATTACCCGGAGAATGCGAGTCGAAATCGTATAGCGGCGCTACCTAGAACGACGTAAAAATCAATTTATTTGAAATTCTGTATGACACGTTAAAAAATTGCAATAAACTTCTAAAGTTGCGGAGCAAAAGATATTTCAATTATTGAGTGGTTAAACCCAAGTAAGGGTGCGACTATAATTGATTGTCACTGCAAACAAACTTATGTAAATCATGTACATTTTATACGTTTGTATTATGTGTGTGCTGTATTACAAAACGATATCTTACTTTTTCAAACTCGTATCATAAAAAGAGTGAATTCAGGAGATGGCAAAACTTTATATTTATTTTAAATTTCGTATCAAGGGTGTTCATTTGGGTGCATTACTTTGAGAATAGGTAAAAGCCAGTGTGTGAATATAAAGGAAATGTGATGTGAAACCAGCCTGCAAAATTTTTAGGTATATACAAACCATTTTTTGCATTTCAGTAACTTTGTGCATTAAGATACGAGTTTGAGAAAGTAAGGCGACGAAAAGGCTATACCACTTGCACAAAAGTTATTTGTGGTGAATTTCACCGTGTAGACGAGTCTTCAGTAGTGGTGAATATTGGTTTTATTGATCACGAGAATCAACGCTTCTACCTAATTCTTTTATTAATTTAACTTAATTAACACCAGAATCAGACGTTAGATAAAGATCTCTGTCATTTTAGTCTAGGCATCACGTTCGTTACCTACGCCAAGAGTTCGTAGAGTTTTAAATTACAATAATCGGCAAGTAGCTAAACTGTTTAGTAGAATTGCCATTAATACATGTCAAATAGATGTAGATAATGAGCAGAATGTCAAACAAAATGCAAGAATAAATTAACTTTTATATAAAAAAAAAACCTAGAAAGAAAAGCTTGCTTAGACGCTTTCGCTGTGTTCGTTACATGTATTTGCCAAGTTTTATCGAAATCGGTTAACGAAAAGTGGGTGAAATGCAATAAAACGGTTTCATCTCCTAATTTGCCACCTTTAGAGGTGGAATATTTTCTTTAAATTTGAATGGGACTATAAGTGAAGTACCCCCTTTCCTATAAAAAAGAATCATCGATATCGGCTCAAAAAATACAGTCGAATTGGGAACCTCATCCTTTTTTGAAGTCGGTTCAAAATATGTATGTTTAGAACTAGGCACTGGGCAGATAACGCGCCTGTCACCCTGAGGCATAAGTTGATAAGTCCCATGTGCCCGTAATTTCGCCAGCACCCCTACCTTTCAAAACCGGAACGCAGTAATGCTCATATTACTGCTTGGCGGCAGAAATAGGTATGGTGGCAGTACTTACCTGTACCAACTCTTTCACAAGGAGCTCTACTGCTACTGACTCAGTGTCGATTTAATAAATGCAGTTAAGATGTCCTGTATGTACACACTAAAGTAGAATGACTGAGCTCCTTAAGCTCGACATTATGAACTTTAGACTTCTTATCGCAAGCGGCATAAAGTTAAATTTAAATCTTAAGTCAAGCTTGACGTGCTCTTCACCTTGTACATAATATTTAATAGTGTCTCAAACAATGCGTAAACGACGAAAGTTCAATATTTAAAGGGGAACAGCTGCAGCATGGTGTGTCTATATATGTAGTTACTAATAAATATGTATATGTAGTACTAATAAAGTAATAAATTGGTTCAAGTGTAATAGAATTGACTATACCAAAAATTAAAAATCTATTTTTACATTATTTTTAGCCTATTGGCTATTAATTACAAGGCCCTAATAATAAGGGCCCAATAATAAATATTACAGGGCCCATGGTCTGCATCATGTCCATTAGACTTATAAAGGACCTGAAACGTTTGTTTGTTTCAAAGCCAAATATACGCGATTTAGATCCGAAAAAGTAGTATTTTGAAGTTGGTTTATTTTTTTTAATAAAACGGTTTTGTATAATTATTGAATTTCATAACATTTTAAATTATTTTAATGGACAGGTGATCTCCCTATCACCACAAAACAGATAACAAAACCGATAACAGATAACAAAATTTAATATATAATAAAGCAATATTTCGTAACTTTAGCAAGAATAAACAAAAGCGTAAACACATATTGTTTATGATATGAAGTGACGGGACGAACAAGTCGTGCGTACCTAGCACACGCTTATTCATAACAGTTGTAGTGCCGCTTACAAGCTTTAAATCATAAAGATCTGAGGGGCACTGCCACTGCGCCGTCACAAAATTGATAACTCCCATGTAGTCTGTAGTTTCAATAGCATACCCTTTCAAAGCTGGAACGCACTGTAATTCCCACGTTAATGCTCGGCGGCAGGAATATTTGTAACACAATAAAGTAAATAATCACTAAACGCAAGTACAGTGCTGCAGAATGTTATTTAAAGGTTAACTAAGATTAGTATGCAACATGTGTGAAAGGGTAAGCGAAATCATTGACATCAATTACCTACTCGAAAACATTGACATCAATTATATACTGTTACTTTATCAAAGAAATGTTTATTTTGATGATTTTATAGATATTTCTTGTGCTTCAGCAGTTTCAAAGTAAAGCTACATGGTCAAATTTAAAAATAAGTAAACATGCCCAAGTACGTACGTGTATATTTGTCTGCATGTTCTTTCTGGTCAATATTGATCTACTGGACAAAATTGTCTTTGCAATATTTGCAACAGTTCTCATAGAGAACTATTTTCAACACAAATAAATGTGTTCTAGAAAGGTATTTCCATTTATTACAAGTGATAGGAAAATAATAAATTAATCAAACATGTGTAGTGCAAATGTGTGAACTGATACACAGAATGATTCATAATGAATATATTCAATGTTACTACTAGTGTTGTAGTAAAATGATAACCCTGTCTGTGACTTTATGGCGTAATTTATATTAATTGTCTTGTTTAATATCAATTTTGAGATAACAAATCATATTCAACAAAGAAAGTTATATGCACATGTTTACATAGGCACAAAATGTTCAAAATGACACATGTTTAGTCCGACTGTTTAAAGTCAAGATATTAGGGAGTTAACTTATTAATATATTTTGCTAGAGTGTATATGAATGTACAGTATGGAACAAGAGTTTTTTGATGTTTGAACTCTTGGGACCCCCATTGTTAAAGAGGTGAGTGCTCCTTCAGGTGCCACGCAAGTAAGTGAAACATGGAATTTGTAAAAATGTTTTCTCACAAAGTAATCATACATTGTTAGGGTAATATTTATTTATGTATTTACAGACTGTCTTCTTTCTACTGGGAAACTGTCTTAGGAACCATTAAGTATTTTTTTGTGAAAACAATTTTGCCAATTTTGTTAATTTTTTTTCAGCAGTTGGTCAAATTTAATAAAAAGTTTTTTCATACAAAGTGCAACAATGACATTTTATCAAATTTGCCGAACTTCTGCTGTCCCGACTCTTATCTTCCAATACAATAAAATCATTCATAAAACAAATTGAGTCTATTAGCATTAAATAACATTAGTCAATTTTATTAATTTTTTTTGGAAAATTATTGATTAAATTTGACAAACTTCTGCTGTCCCGATTTTTTTCGTCCCATACAGTGAAATGATCCTTACATGAAACTCAGTCAATCAGCACTAAAAACAAATTTAACCAATTTTATTCATTTTTATGAACATCACACAACCAAAAAATTATGCCAAAATTGTTTTCACAAGAAAAGACTTAACGGTTCCTAGGATAGTTTCCTTATATCTTCTATGGTTTTGGATTTCCCCATATTGTCCCATTTAAAAAAACACTGTGTAATGTACAGAGTCAGTACAGTCCGTTGTCTATATTATATCTGACCCATTATGTTCTGTTGTGAGTCAAGGTGATGTTCAAATACGACTTCCATTGTGCTTGTAATTGCCTCTACATTGAAAAAATTATTAATAAAGACATTAAATCCAACAATGCCACATTTTTTAGGATTTCTTTAATCTGTCAATCAATCTAAATTTTACTAATTTGGAGATGAAAATAAATTCCATATTAAAAACATTTACTATTTACAGTTAACATGGTCAGAAAAATATTTGCTTGCAATGAGCATATCACAACTGAATTTTTATCTTTTCTAAACAAAAACGAAAGTTAGTAATAATTACATAAAAATTAATGATGGCTTTGGTACTTGGTGTAACGGGCTGATGTCTGCAACTCAACATCATGGTGTCTATTTTGCATGTGGACTTTGGTATTTTATACCCTGTACTTTAGTAGTATACACTTAGTTTCTATAAATTTGACAAAAACAAAAGCTGCAGTAAGCAGTAAGGTGTTGGCTGCCTACCTTTAACTGCTTTGAAATTTTGACAGACTAAATAACAGGTAAGATGAATGAAAAATATAGAATATTCTGAAATTAGGCACTTTCTGATAACCTTGGGTGGAATTTTAATGAGATGATAAATTAACTTTATATGTAAACATAATGTTGACCTTTGCCAATAAAAAATATTGGTAAAAGTATGTTTATACTTCACACCAGGACACTGTAAGATATTATTTAACTTGAAATTTTGTGAATTGCATCTGGTTGATAAAATAAACAATATTATTAATATTTTTAAATTGAACACATGTAAAAATATTTTAAAGCAGCTAGGGTCAAATTCCAATTCAAATTTGTATTGTTAACTAGTGTTTATGTTGTAGAAGTTATGTCATTTACATTTAAGTCTTACCTTTCTAACATGATCCACAAGAGGCCAGACAGTGTCAATGTGATCCATAAGGGTCATGAAGCCTTGGTACAGACGCTGCCCGTTCTCACTATCATCGGGTTGGAAGTACGTTGCATTATTCTGGCAGGAGTCCTTCAGGGCCTCGTACATGGCATAACTAGGAGGTGCTCCTTCTTCCGTGTTGTTCTCGCAACACAGCGAAGCTTTTGCAGGCGACTCAGTAAAAGACGACATTCTCGCAACAAAATGCCTTGGCAACATACGGAAACCGCGACTCATAAACTTAAGCCTCATCTGTAAAGATTTCAACACAAACATAACGCGCTAATTTAAGTATGAAAAAAATCGACACCAATGTGAATTGTAATTACAAATTGTTTCGCGAGCGGATTTTGTTATCATTGTATCGTTCTTACTATACTGTTTCATTTAGATAACTGCCAATAACTAGCCTTCATCAAGTTTGTCTGAAATTTTATTCGCAAATAATTTCCTTTCGCACGAATTTACGTCAATGAAGTGAATGAACGAGAGTTTAGTTCTTTGGCTTTATTGACAGCTGATTATGAAATAGTAGAAACCATTGGTAGAAAGTAGAAACTGAAAAGTATATTATGTCAACATTAAAAACCCAGTGTACCAACATGGCATGGCTAGAGAACCTTGTCTATGAATTTTTATTCTCTTTTTATCACAAAGATTCCGTGAGCTTTCTGTCTCTTTTTGTATGATTGATTGAATTTAGCATTCATTCGTTTAATTCATTCATTCGTGTCAATTATGTTTTGTTTGTTTACACGTGAAATAACCCAAAAATTGGAATAAATTGAGAATTTTGTATAAGTATGGGAGATATTATAATGGCAGAAAATGGACTCGATCATATTAATTCCGAGGAAAATGTTAGTGAGCCGGAAATAGAAGTACCTGCCGTAGAAATCGTGGAACAATCTCAATTGCAGTACCCGTCCATATTTTGTGGCAAAACTCTGTTAGAACTATGTAATTCTTCGTGGTCTCGTGCTCCTAAAGCTGACAATGATGTACAGCCGTATCTGAGGGGCTGTAAGTGGTCTCCGGACGGAACTTGTTGCTTAACTGTTGTAAATAATGACGGTGTACATGTTACCGAACTTCCGAGGGATTTATACGAGGGCGACATCACGACGAATCGAGCTATTGATATTTTGGGCTCAGTGATTCATGTGAAAGAAGCTGGTTTGGTGTATGATTTCTGTTGGTACCCTGGAATGAACAGTAATTATCCTGAAACTTGTTTGTGAGTATACCGGCTATTGTAGAAACTTATGAACTTGTAACTATGCTTACGGCACTAAAAATAGATCTTAGTACTATGATACTACTAAAAAATTTCCTTTGTATGTTTTTTATCAATGCAGTTTGCGTATTACGAAGTTGGATATTGTAAATATTAGACTACTTCACATACATTGCTCTGATTCCAAAGTAAATAACTAAAGCACTTGTGTTATGGAAATCGGAAACAATGACGGTACCACAAACACTCAGATCCGAGACAATATAGAAAAGTTACCACATTGACCTGGCCGGGGATCAAACACGTGACCTCACAAATGGTGTCATTATGAAAACTGTTGCGCAAGTCACCCAACCATGGAGGTCATCATATGTGATATTGGTACATTAGCTACATTTAACTGACTTTACACCTAAAAAAATTGTCCTGCAATAAACTGTAATGTGTTAATTTGTATGATAATTCTATAAATAAATGAACATAGATTTAGTACATTTCTAGTTTTTATCTACTTATATATTTATAAAATCAAAAAAGGGTTTCAATATTTCTGCATAATTACCTTTTCCAGCTGGCTAACCACCCGTCAAAATGCACCAGTACAGATGTGGGATGCATTTGACGGATCATTAAGGTGCTCATATAGAGGATACAATAATGTGGACGAGATGGAACCCGCACTGTCTTGCACATTCTCTTCAGATTGTACCAGGATCATAGCTGGATATAAGAAGTGCTTAAGAACATTTGATACTGATAGGTAGGTACTCTGCCATGCTTATGATAAGAACAGTAAGTCTATATATATTTCAAACTGTTAATGTTGTAAGCAGGGCACTAGCATACCATTATAATATAGTAGCAATAATAATACTTTCATTCAGATATTCATTGTTATACTTTATTTCTTGTGTTAATTTATTACATATTTACATAAATTTTATGCTTGTGTCATTTTTCAATAACCTTCATTATTTTTGTCTGTCTCTAGTTACTCTGCACTAAATTGTTCCCACCACTGTTCCAACATTATCACCCCAATGTTGGCTGTCTTTTTCCTTTTTCTATGTTTGTGATGCCACTGGCACATTTTTCCTCCATTTGCCCTTGCCTCTAATTATATAACTTTAAAATAAAGGAAAATGCATGAAAAGAGAATGCTGGATAAAATGCACTTTACTGACACCTGAGGATTGTATGATATGAATCTTAACCTGGTCTATCACCAACTTTGAAATCTCCATATAGTATAAAATATTCCATTATAAAATATTTCTGATTTCATTTGAGTGTAAATGTGGCCCTAGAGCCATTGCCCATAAGGTTTAACATATGTGGGAATATAGTAGTTCCCGCAAGGCTCTGAATGATCGAATGCTTCAGTGAATGATGATCAAGGCATGTTATTAATGTCTATTAAATTATTATATTATTGTATGTTTCAGACCGGGCCGAGATTTTGCAGAACACAAGATCTCTTCTTCAGCATCAAGTTTAGCCACACATAGTAATCTACTAGCAGTAGGCTCATGGAATACTACCATTAGCCTTTACAATATCAATGAGTATGGCACTTACAAGAGTATAGGCAAAATGCATGGACATGGAGGTAAGTTCTTTTCATTATGTATTTTATAAAGCCTAGTATGAGTTACATTATCAACCCATTTATACGTCCCACTGCTGGGCATGGGTTTCCTCTCAGGCGAGGATTTACGTCATAGTCCGCTACGCTAGCCCTATGCGAGTTGGGGACTTTACATGTTTTCCTAGGGTTATGAACCTTGTGTAGTCCATGTGAACCTTCTTCGATGTGGAAGTTTCAAGATGGTTTTTTTCACCAAAAAGCAAGAGCTTTTTTGCAATCTACCAAGAGGTACCAAGAGGTAGATTGCAAATAAGGTTTTGCACATGAATTCCGAAAACTCATAGGTGCGAGCCCGGATGCTAACCCTGCATGGGATGCAGTAGTTCAAACCATTAGGATACCATGGTTTTTCTTTTTGAGTTACATCACAAAATCTTAAATTAAATTGATTTTAACGTTTTATGCATAATATAGACTGCAATTTAATGTAGACTGATAATCATAGTACAAGTATCAATGTAGCTAAGTTGCTATAATAATAGCCGACCTCTGGTAGGAGATGGTACTTCAAGATCATCATAGACCACACGCAAATTTGGCTGGTCATCTCTATTAGCATTTTTTCAACTGCAATTCAATAGCCATCTTTATTTTGCCAGGAGGAGTAACACATATGAAGTTCACCCCAAATGGTCTACAACTTGTATCAGGCGCACGAAAAGACGATAGACTCCTAGTCTGGGACATCAGATATTATCGTCGGCCACTTAACATATTAAGTAGAGTGGTGAACACAAATCAGAGGATATACTTTGATATATCTCCTTGTGGGAAATATTTAGTATCTGGTGGCACTGATGGGATTTTAAGAGTGTGGAACGTGGATAAAGTAGACTGGAAGTCAGGAATTGATGTTTGCGACGAGGATGTTGATAGATCCATATTGAAGGTAAGCTAAATGGTGTGGTCATGTCCTATCTGGCCCAAATTATAAAACGTGTTTTACGCGAATATTGGTCTTTGTAAATTATTAAGTTGTTAGCTGCTCCTAACCAGTTGCTAACAACTTACTCATTTATGAGAGCGAAAACCGCCAATAGTCTTGAGTAGGTGCTCAAAGATTCTCATTAAAATTAAACAAATCTATTTAAATTTAAGATACATAAATAAGGTACAATATTTGAACTTTTAAAGATTGATGCCAATTATTTCAGCTTTTTGTTGCAATTTCTATGAATGGAAGTCGCAATATGTGGATCTTAATAATAAAAATAAATAATAGAATGATTTGGATAATTTTCTGGTTAGTTTTCAACCTAATTTTGATGGCAATTTTTATTATTTAAGTATTCGAGTATATTATCGAGAAATATTAAATAATATTTCAGGATACACTCAAATATTAAGTAATATTTAATCATAATATTCTAGAATGACTCTAAAACTGAACTTCGACAGTATGTTACATCGACATGATTTTACTCAGACGTTACGCTACTCCGACAATATATTACTTCGACATTACTTTACTCAGACACTTCGCTACTTCGACAACATGTTACATCGACATGATTTTACTCAGACATTACATACATATTTTAGTTTTCACTTCGATTGCGATAAATAAAAAAATATTTATTTTAAAGGTTTAGGCTCTACTACAAAATGACGAACCAAAACTCTGAAATTTTCACGTGGCGTTTTGTTGCGTTTGTTTCTATGTATCTGTATTAGGGGGTCGATTCAGAACCTTACGATAACTCAGTTGTCGACCGATTCGATTTGATATCGTACGATTTCTTTTCATTTTTATTCGCAACACCCGAATCGAACGACAAACTTTCGTATTCGAAACCGAACCGAAATTACGTCACAGCCGTACGATTACTCGAGCTTCTGGACATTTAAGGGCTACAAACGTTATTCGGACAGTTATCAAATGAAAGTTACCGAACGTTCTATTGTTTACAAAGCAATAATGTAGTACGGAAATCTCTTATTATTTTAAATAAAGTCTAGATTTTGTTCAATTTTATTAGTTTATTGTAATGCAAAATTAATGCATTCCTATATTTTAGGCTTTCATAGTCTTAAAAATGTATATAAAAGGATAATTTTTTTTTGTAATATATTGGCTTGTTTTAGACACTTGATAAAAAAAATTATTTCATGTACTTACATATATGAAATAGTGTATTTTATTATATTTTAATTTAATAGGTTCCGTTACACTTTATATAACTAATAAAAGAATTTTTCGATTACATTATTTTGTTTTTTTTTGTTATATTGATCGATATATAATAAGAAACCATTTCCTACATGGGTTTGTAATGATGATTTTTTCTTATCTGTAAAGTAATGTCGAAGTAATATATTGTCGGAGTAGCGTAATGTCTGAGTAAAATCATGTCGATATAACATATTGTCGGAGTAGCGTGTGTCGAAGTTCAATTTTATAGTCTTCTATTTAAATAATAAAAATTGCCACCGAAATTAGGTGGAGAAAACTAGCCTGCAAATTACCCGTAGGTATATCTTTAACAGTGATCGTAATAATTTTGTTTCAGTTTCCTCTACACAAAGACTGCTGCAACAGTGTTTCAATCCATCCATATAGGCCCATTTTGGCAACTGGTTCTGGCCAGTACCACTTCAACAATCCCCTTACACTTTTATGTGAAGAAATCTCAATGGAGAATTCGAAATCTTTGGAAAAAACAAATGACGAGCTTGAGTCCACAAGTGAAATATACAATGAAATGGAAATTAGTGTAATTGAAAACGTTATGGACAATACTACAGGCGATGAAGATGTCAAGTATTCTAGTATAAGTGAAAACAGTTTGGTATTTTGGTGGACTGGCGACGTTAAGGAACTGATTGAGATTCCATAAAATAGTAATACTTAAAGACTGACATTCATTTTGAACGAAGAAACTGTGGAGCTGGTGTCAACTTTGAACATATACAGTCCAGAGCACACAAAGCCTGACACTTTGAATTTAGATCGTCTTGTCGTAAGTATTAGGTCCAACTTGTCTTGCGACAGACCCTTTACATGTCAGTAGAAGACGTTAGTTGTGTAACTTAGAGACTGCAGCTCATCAAGCTACACATTGACGGATCTTGTTTCGTTTGCACTGGAGGCGATATTCTATCAATAGTGTATAGCTTTATGTGCTATTGCACATTAACGTGGTGAGTCTTTGCCATGTCTATACTAAGTCAATTTATTGTTTCTGCTCCTCCAATATAGAGCTGGATCTATATGTTATTTACAAAAGGACATATTTAGTCGTGTACAAGCTGTAAGATTGAATTAGCATCAAAATAAATAAGTGCGTATTAATATCACTGTATAAAGGACATCATATATGGGCATGACCTGCAATTTAAATAATAAACGTGAGTAAAATTTACTGGGTTTTGAAACGTAACATTAAAATGTAGGAACAAATGTTTACAACTAGAGTTAGGTGAGTACGCCTTGTTAGTTTCGACAATGAAAAAGCCAAAATTGCAAAACAAGTTAATGTACTCTCATGTATAATCTATGTACCAGCTGTAATCAAGCTTTTTTCCTTCAGGCCACATACACATGTTTGTTTTGTTAGTGAGGTTGCAACATTTTTGAATGATGCCTTTTTTACGTTAGTGGCGACCTGGTTTTACATTTTCCCCGTATAATTAAAATACAAAACCGAAATATACCAAAACGACTCAGTAACCCGATTTCTACATTTATTGCATATTTAATTTTGGAATACGATGATTCACAAAGGACGTGTGTGAACAACGTGGTCAGCCAGGTGGTAAGCAGGTACTCATTTCCAAAATTCGATGTACTCGTTTGCCTCACTCTTGTCTTTAAAAATAGCTTCCATATTCTTAAACTCGATAAATTCATCGAATAACCTTGCACAATCAAGTCTCTATGCAGCGAATTGTGTTAGTTTCTTTTTCTGTGAGATTGGGACTTTTTTCTGAATTAAATTAAATTTTCTCGCTCAAGTTTTAAACTTAGAAACGCGTTATTTTAAACAGGATTTTCCTAATAATACTGCTTATCTGCTTATCATAACTAACGTAATCGACATTTTTACCGAAATTGAGTTATTAACATTTTCTGGAATCATCGAAACGAAATCTACAGCCCGCCACAAGCGATTTTTTTATACCTTATTTAGTTTCAGTTTTATTGTCAGCAAAATCTGTGTAATTGACATTTCATTTCAAAGAAAAACAAGCTAGGTGCCAATATAGCGAAAGTGTAGAGTATATAACCAGAAATAGAGACTGCTTGAAACTGTTCTGCCAAATCATTACGGTGACAACTGCGCTCTGATTGGCCAGCCCGGATACGAAACAATTGACGGGTGTCGTCAAATGTTTCACTTTAAATCGACCAGTTTAACTTGAGCTTTGATGTAATGGACTATAATTACATATTTAATTACCGACGAAATGTGATTCCGTTTGTTTTGTAGTTTGATGTTTTGCTGTTTTTCCCACACCACCGAATGGAACAGCTCCCCATTGTTAGAGATATTATCTGTATTACAATAAATACAGAATATTTTTGGAATATACGGAGACACACAGAAACGGAGAAACACACAGGTCAGTTGTTGGCGCTGTACTATTTCAGCTTTCTAATTTGTGATTTCAGTGCAAACGAGAGTTGATATTTAAAAATCATATAAGGCCCATTTGCCTTATGAGTTCCCAGGAATGGATGGCCCTTATTTCGTTTCTATTTCTGGTTATGTTCTCGATGAGCGAAAGTTATCAAAATACAAATGCTTTTGTTACGAAAAGGTCGGAGGGCAGAATAGTGTATCGGGCCGCACATGAAACCGTGGACCTGCGACCCTCCACGGTTTCATCGTCGCAGGTAGAGTATGGCTGATCTATACTATAACTTTTCTACTTGTGTTCGGTAATAGTCTGTAAGTAGACATGTAGCATTGTTTCTGTTGTACAATGTATATTGATGTAGATTTGTTTATAAGTTAGTAATCGATTGCATTTTACATAAATAAATGGCTGTGTAAAAGTATATTCAAATTAATTATCACGTTTTTAATTTAGTCGTCGATTTTCAATTTTTTACTGAATGATCACCGGTAAATAACCTTACACGTTTCGCTGTAGTTTGACCTTTTAAACTTGTGCGAGTTCAGTATGGCCCTACACGTGACCAAAAGTAAACCAAGAGTGGGTTTATGGAGTGTAAGGGGAAATTGCTACCGCTTGTAAGCTGCACTCAGTACACATATAAACGCAAACTTGGCTTGCACAAGTTTGACACCGTCATAAGTTTCGTAGTCAACTGAAACATGGTGTAATAGGTGGAAAGGATCCCATTTATACAAATAAAACAGAATTTACTGTTACAAAATTAGGTCCATATTTCACTAGCTGTCAGATACAAAGATTGTAAGCAATAATTTATCCAGAAAAGAAACATCGTTTGAATAAATATGTAACAAATGTTTTTATTTTGCCCTATTCAGATTAAAATACCGTGTCACGTATCGCGATGATAAAGTGCTTCAGTTCTCTTTTATGTATTTATATCATATTAGAACAATGTTTATCGTAAGATATATGCAGATAGCATTTATTTATAGGTAGGTTCCACACGCAAAATAGGCGCTTTGTCATCGAGTTGCGGATACCAGCCAGTAGGTAGGTTACCCTTAGATAAGACTTAGGTAAACTGAAGCTGAAGGAAGTTCGTATAAAATGAGTATTTTCACTTCACTAGCTCGGAAAGTCTTTCTATCTCATTATAAATGTTCGCGCATAAGCGTTTTTTGCACGCTAGCGTGGAAAAAGCTTTTGAAATTTGAACTATACGATGGACCATAGTAGGAAAATAGGGGAGATACGTAATGACGATCGGGTACCTACCGATGTCGCCACTTTTTAGCTTGTGTGCAATTCAAACTTTATGCTCTATTATCTACTACCATAACTTAAAGATTTTGATTGGGTAGGGCTTAAAACGTGAAAACGACGTAACACAATTTTAAAATTTAACAAAATTAAACTTATTGTCCTTTTGAGTAAGAGTTATATTACAATATTTCAGTATTTTTTCATCCTGGTTCAGCCAATCACCATCAGGTGGCGTTTTAGTAAAAATGCTACTAGTACATAATAGTTAATTGTTACACGTTAGATGGCGCTGATACTCATTTTTCGTTACACTAATAACTCTCTGAGCGGTTTTCATCCTCGTCTGCCGCGGGACCGCGGCATCTGTAGAGTCACGAGTGTAATAGTTAAGTATGTAAAATTAGTAGTACATTTCACGGCGCGTTTTACGCCTGTAGTGGTGACGGTTGCTCGCGGTTGCCGCTGACTGGTGCACCTAACTTTTTCTTTCGATGAAAAGAAAAGATAATGACAAGTTCAACTACGGGATTTGTCGCACATTACATAATTATGTAACATAAATCCGTTGGTATATTGTATTCTTATTATTGTTGACATTAAATTGACATTGATAACTAATTGTGTTTATTAAATTGTTTTAATTCGTCGAAGAACTAGAATAATTTTAATAATTTAATCACACGAAATAAAAGTATAAGCAAGAATAAAAATTGATGAGGTGTACATTCAGAACGCTTCCGTAGATAAACCATTTTTCTTCTAATTAAAAAAAACTGATATTTTTTAATTGAACTGTTTTTCTTTCATCTAACATTTTCCTCGCTATAGTGAAGTGAAAAGTTGTGTGTTTCGCTCGGCAGCAGTTGTATTGCGTCTCGTGCCTTAAAACCCTCGCTACGCTTAGGTATCTATTTTTGAACCACTCGCTTCCTTCGTGGTAGAATCTAAGCTTCCTGCGCTTGCTCAAGTTTCAATACAAGCACTCGGGTCAAACAACAACTTTGCAGCCTTGCATAACAAATAATTATTGTTTGGTTTGTGAAAAATGTCAATACGTAAGTACCCACTTACTGCATTTAATTAAGGATATTTCCATATAGCACGAGAATACTGTGATGATCACCGTAATTTTTTGAAATACAAAACTTGTAGGTACAACTAAAATAATAACGTAACAATAACTCTACGTATGGAGTTCTTAGATTTTCACGATTGTTACACATAGGAAATGAAACTATTTTCCCGGATTTAAATCGCGTATATTTGTTTTTTCAAGGAAACCGACGTTCAGTCAACCGTGACCATGGGACCTGTAAAGGGCCCGAAACGTCGGTCTGTTTGAAAAAACTAATATACGCGATTTAAATCCGGAAAAATAGTTTCATTTCCTATGAATAACTCTACGCTCAGAGCGAAGTGTAGACATTTACATTAGACGGGAATTTGCCTTCTTGCTCTTGTTATAGGTACTATAAATAAAAAAATAAAATAATAAAAAAATAAAAAGTATTTATTTCAGACAACCGTGATCCATAAATTGTTAG